TACCCTACAGGAAGGGTTAATTGGGACGGCCAGAGGTAATGTTTAGGTCTAATGTTTTATTTAAATTTTAAAGGGATTTGACAAAATAATAGCTACATTATTCCACCATGCAAAATATAATTTTCATGGGTGCATTTTACAGAGATAACATTGTAAATAAACGTTGCTCTGGTATTTCATGAGAAATATTCATCAGCAGAATTGGAATAACTATTTATTTCAATTTATCTATTGTGAAAATTGCTTTATTTAAACTAAATTTACTTTTTGTTAATTATTTTTCATTTTTTACATCTTGCCATTGTAAAGTTTCAGTTGATCTTTTTTACCCACCTAGGCTTGAGCTTGCATAGAGGTTATATAAAAAAACTGTTGAATCTAACTTAAAATTAACATACATCTTATAAAACAATTAAATAACGAATATTAAGGTCTCGTAAACTAAGCAACAGTGCTCACAAACCTAAAAAAACTAACAACGAAAGAAAATACTTTTGTTATGCATTTTCAACATTGCTGTTTTTCTTCCACTTGCAACGTCTTAAGAATCAAGGTGATGGCTGGTTACACATTTTTTTCTTTCTTCTTTTCAAATATTGAAGTTAAAAATTTTTTTTGGGGTTTTTGAGATATCGGTGGTGGAATTTTTGATCCGCGGACCTTTAAGCCCTGGTCTATTTTTTTCTGAAAATTTGCTGTTCATGGTAATATAATAAAGATGGAACATTGAGAATAATATAGCTAAGCACTTTATATATGAGGGAGCATAAAACTTTCACATAATCAATTTATAATTATTAAAGATATCTCGGGTAGAGGCAAAAACTAATGTTGCATGACATCGTGTCTTAAGGCAAATTGCTGGAACTTCCAGTACCAAAAACTAAATTTTCAAAAAAAGCTTGAAAAAATTAGATTTTTGAGAAATTTTGAAATTTTTGAAAAAATTAAATTTTATGAAAAATTAGTTTTTTATATTTTGAATTTTTTCGTATTTTGTGTCTAATGTTCATTTTGTCAGCTGTAAAGGGACATTTGCATGTTGTTTGACATGTTAGGATAACAACTCAATAGTTCATTTTCGACCGCCAATCGCATTATTTTTTTTAATTTCCCGAGAGAGTTTATTCTTTTTTTTACTTCCCGAAGGAGAAGTTTATGCTTTCATCAAAAAATCCGATTTGCTAATTTTATGTTTTTTCGGCGTTTCAAGTCATTCTGAATCGAATGAGACCAAATTTGGAAAAAGTATATGTGTGTGTGTATGTGAACAGATTTTTTGCCGTAAATCGACGTTTTCTCACAACGGCTGGACCGATTTCAAAAATTTAAAAGCCATTCGATGCACCACGATGAGGACTATTGTTTTGTGCAACCTCGGCCAGCCATTTCTTTATAAATAGCAGAAAAGCGAAAAAAAATTCGTCTACGTTTTAGCCCGAAATCTGAATCGATTTTGAAAATTCATAAACCATTCGAAAGGTATTGGTTAGGAATCGTGCTAATTAGTTTTTGGTAGTGATCGGCCAGGCCGTTTTCTTATAGTAAAGTGTTAAAAAAAATTTTTCAACAATTTTTATTATTATTTTTTAACGGTAGTCTTATAGATCAAACTAAAATATTACGGCTCTACAACAAGTCGTTCAACTTTAAAAATTTATCAAAGTTTGCAAAAATTGGTATCGTGTTTTTGGCATTTGTCAAAATTAGACCTTTGATCGACGTTTTCTCAAAAACGTCTGAACTGATTTCAGAAATTTACAAGCCATTTGATGTATCTCAATGAGGACTATCATTTGTCAGTTTTGTGCGACGATCTGCCGAGCCGTTTCTTTGTAATTTGAAAAAAGTGTTAAACTTTTCGTCCACATTTAAGCTCATACTACCAAATCGATTTTAATAAATCAAAAATTGTTCGAAAGATATTAGTTGGGAATGATACTGATCAGTTTTAGGTGAAAATCTACCGAGCCGTTTTCTTGTAATTAACTGTTGAAAAAAATTTAAGCCGATTTGTATGGAAGTTTTTTGGCGATATATCATGGTGTTATAGAACTTACTGAAATATTACAGTCTTACGACAAGTAGTTAAATTTTAAAAGTTCACCAAAGTTTGAGAAAATTAGACGATAAAACAATAAATTAAAAGTAGACGATTTACTTGGTATAACAATAGAGTACTTGGTCTTAATGAACATACTAAACCATTAAAGTCCTACGAAAACTGGTTCAATTATAAAAATTGTTGATTTTTGAAAATTTGCTCTTAGAAAATACTCCGAGTTATCGTGATTGTTCGTGTACAATGATGTGTATTAAATCCACTCGGATACCTTTAATCAATCATAAATTATATTTTATTGAGTCGTTTATTTAACAATTCGGGAAGTTAATGAACTAATCAGCACGTCTTCTTATAAGGCTTCTTATAATACTCAAATCGGTTGATCCGTGTTCGCAAAATCGTCGGCGAAAATTTGTATGTGCGCACGCACACACACATACATTCATTATAAAAATTAATTAAACTTTAATTAACTTCCCGTAGGGCAAGTTATAGTAATCGCAAAAAAATCGAAAATGAAAATTTTTGCATTTCTCGACGTTTCAAAGGTTTCTGAATATTTTGGCATACCTTAAAAAAAATGGATGTATGTGTGTGTATGTGTGTGTGTATGTATATATGTGTGTGTATGTATGTGCGGATACAAATTTTCGTCGACGATTTCAGGAACACCAATCAACCGATTTGAATAATTCAAAGAACATTCGATTCGTATTGATAAGGAGACGAGCTGGTTAGTTTTTGGCAAAGGCAGGTCTAGCCGTTCCGAAGATACGGGGCAAAAAGTGCCAAAAACGGTAACTCAGTTTTTAAGAGAACGGAGCGTCCGATTTGAATAATTCGAAAACATTTTACTTGTATTGACAAGGTGAAGAACCGATCAGATTTTCATAAAGGCAGGTCTAGCGGTTTCGGAGATCTAATGAAAAAAGTAAAAAAAAATGCCATTTGGCGGTCAAAAATGATCATTAGACATATGCACATCAAATTATCAGATATTTTTTAGAGATTTTAACAATAAGTATAAATTTGGTTTACATTCCTATGGGTTCCGTACCAATGCTTACGCGTTAGACGGCGACGCGGCGCTTACGCGCTTTGATATTTCGTCTTTATGCAGTTAAAGCAGTACGATTGCTTTGAAAAAAAGTTTAGATCTTCCAAAATATGTCAAAATAAAGAAAATTTTTTTTTCAAAAAAAATTTAAAAAAAAAAAAAAATTTTTTTTTTCAAAAAAAAGTAATTTTTTGTCCAATTTATAGTTTCTCAAAAATCTTATTTTTTCGAAGTAAAATTTTTTCAAAAATGTTAATTGTTTTTAAAAAATAATATTTTTTGGTACGGGAAGTTTCAGCAATTTGCCTTAAGGCACGATGCCTTTATTGCCTTAAGACAGAATTCGACTTACAGCTAGTTAATTTTTATCATTAAACCGCTTTTCCAAGGCCTCTAATATTTTACCACGGTCAGTTTGTGCATTAAGTCTACCATCATGCCAAGTTTAATCAAAATCCGAGACGAGCAACGCCAAAATGTTTAGAAACCGCTGAATCGTAAAGAAAATATACATATTTTCATTTTCTTTTTGCGGTTACTGTCACTTACCCTACGGGAATTTAATAAATGCGTTTAATAATGAATTAGTTATATGAAATGAAGAACACAAGTTAAGATGTAGTCCGTTTCGAGTAAAGGTGATTCGCAATACGTAACAAATAACTAACAGCATGGACAGAAAGAGCACGGCAGGTAAGCGGCTCTCGAGAGATCCAGAGAGCCGTAGAAAGGGACCGCAATAGCGCAAAGAAAGGGATGGCAAGAAAACAAGAAAACAAGAAAACGAGAATTAGTCTTTAGTGGATAGTGGAACAGTGAAGATACGTGTCGCGTATTCTTATGCTTCTTAACGTGGCCATTTTACTAAATAACTTGCTCGAATTGTTAACTAAATGTAATATCTAACATTTCAAAATGAACGATAGAAACTATTCAGTGCAGTGGTTTAGTGATGGAAGCGAATTGGAGTAAATCTTACCCAGCATAGTCGAAGATCTGTGTTTGATGATTTACGACTTTGAACATGGCCACCTTAGGGCTATCCAAAGTATTCATACTCGATAAGTATTTTACTGAGTTGCAGAAGTTTTGGGAAACCGAGAAAAAGCTTCAAGGTATTTCAAAATGAAATGTTATTAATATTTAAAATTTCTGATATCTTTTCATAGATCTCAAGCACCATACATTAGTTTCTTAGATATGCACACTGGCAAGAATTTTAACGCTTTGTGCAACACGGACGTAAACAGATTTACTGTATCTGTTATGAAAAGTTAGAAAAGGCCAAGAATCGAATTAGATTTTTGTATTAAATTATGGTAAAAATAAAATGAGCATTTCACAATGCTGTGTGATGTTTTAAGAGTAAATGTTTTATATGCAATGACACTTTATACAATATGATTGAATCTTGTCACTTCTATAAAATGCGATTATATAATTATTAACTTCACAGTCGCATTTGATACTGATACTATTTATGTAAGATAAAATTATAAATGAAAATGGGATAACTATAAAATAATTTAATCTTGCAGGCTCATATCAATCATACATCAGTAGTTGAAAACTGTGAATTTAACTTTAAAAAAATTCTAATGATTAGTACTAAAATTCGTCGAACACAAGAAAAAATATGACACTATAAGATCATATACATTTTTATGTTAACTCTCATGCAATTGATTTAATCCTGAAATGTGTTGTAGCAAATATGTTTAAGTTTTTGTATATAAATGTATATATATTTTTATATCGACATGTATTCCTAGGCTATTAGTTGATATTCATCATTATTGTTTTCCATTATTAAGTACTTCATGTAAATATATTGCAAACCTAGTTAGCACTACATATCACTATAAAAATTGTTATGACATTATAAATGTCATACTATAATATGTAGTGCAACAAATACAAAATTTCTTGAAAATTATTTCAACACATCCTAGAAAAATTCAATAGAATGATCAATAAAGGAAAACTTCAGTTAGAAATTAAACCCCAATTGTATACACACACACACACACACATATATATATATATATATATATATATTATATATTATATATTATATATTTATATATATATATATATATATTATATAGAAATTTTCAAATATCCATATTAAGGACCACTCTTATATATATTTTGTATATATATAATATATATATATATATATATATACATATATATATATATACAAAATATATATAATATGGATATTTGAAAATTTCTTTACTCCTAGGGACTCAAATGCTACCAAATTGATAAAAAAATCTCTGAAAGTTGTGGCTCTTAATATTGATTCCAAGATAGTCCGCACTTCTGCCAAAGTTTCTTATGGCGTTACTAAAATTTTATTTCATTTCATATTACACAAAATAATTTATTAAGTTTCTTTAAAAAATGTTTCAACGTTTATATAAAATTTAATATGGCGATAAAGTTCATCATCTAAGAACTGTAATTAATGTAATTACAGATCATTTTTTAAATGTGTTTGTGAGATATCAATTGGAAATTGTAATAAGCAAAAACTTTATTCTCGAAATAAACAGTTGAAAACATTATCTGAATATATAAATATCAATTTTGGAGGATTAAGTCAATTCTTACACATTACGGGACTTGCAACTTGCCTTGAGGCATTATGCCACTTTCAACTTGTTAACTTACCGTAAGGTAAGTTATAGTAATCGCAAAAGAATCGAAAATGAAAATGTTTGCATATCTTTTCGTTTCAAAGATTTTTGAACGTGTTTATGAGAGTGTATGTTTGGATACAATTTTTCGTCCACGATTTCGGGAGCATGGATCAACCGATTTGAATGATTTAAAAATCATTCGATTCCTATTAATAAAAAGATGTGCTCTTTAGTTTTTGGCGGTGACAGGTCTAATTCAAAGATACGGGCCGAAAACGGTAAAACAGTTTGTTCTAGCCTCACAAATTTTATTAATCCATCTCCCTCTACCTATATACTAAATACCCTCTACTCTATAATAAAATAATTTCCTACCCTACTTTAGGTACAAAGATAGTTTTTAAGAAATTCATCATTTTTCTGTACGCATAACTTGAACCGTGAACATCAAACAAATAAATACTATTAATAACTAAACCAACTTATTTAACTTACTTATTTTTAAAGGTCTGATATAGCCATTCTAATATTAGGTGTACAACTTTGCTTCCGCCGTTTTTTTCCAAAATTAAAAGCATTATTGCGTAAAAGTGCTTACTGATGTACTATTCAAAGTATTGTCCGTCGCTAGCGACAACTTTCTCCCATCTTTCCGGCAATTTTTGGATCCCGGATCGAAAAAAGGAGTCCTCTTTTGACGCTATCCATGAAGCAATCCATTTTTCCAATTCTTCGAAGGATTGAAGATGTTGATCTGCCAGGCCGTGTGCCATCGAACGGAATAGGTGGAAGTCAGAAGGGGCGACTTCTGGGGAATACAGCGGATGGGGCAAGACTTCCCATTTCAGCGTTTTCAGGTACTTTTTGACCACTTTTGCGACGTGAGGCCGAGCATTATCGTGTTGGAGGATGACTTTGTAATGTCGCTCTTGATACTGTGGCCGCTTTTCTTTTAGCTCGCGACTAAGGCGCATCAGTTGCGTTCGATAGCGATCCTCTGTGATGGTTTCACCCGGTTTTAAGAGCTAATTGTTCATCTTTGTAGGTTTTTTTGGTTCTACCACCATGTTTGTCTTCGGCATCGAAATCACCATTTTTAAAACGTTGAAACCACTCCCGACACGTTCTTTCACTCAGAGCAGCATCACCTAAGTTTCTGAGAGCATTCGATGCGCTTCAGCTCCATTTTTTTTTCGAATTGTAACAGAAAAGTAAAACTTCCCGCAAATGGCGAGAATTGGGGCAAAAACGGACATTTTCGAGCGTGAATAATACGAAAACAAGAACAACTGTCACTGAAACGGAGATGACAATTCGTTAGGCATTGTCCACACTCACTTTAAAGGCATTATCATCTATGTATTTCAACCAACCTCAGCCGGTACAGCCACATATCGGAAACGGCGGAAGCAAAGTTGTACACCTAATAATAAATTATATCTGGTCCTTTGAGGTAGTAAAGTGTCCGTGTGTAGTAATTTTTAATTGACTTTTTTTAATAAACATTGCGCCGGGCGCGTACACCGTTTTTGAGAGAATGGAGCGCCCGATTCGAATGATTCAAAAAACAGTTTGCTTGTTTTGTCAAGATATACAACTGATTAAATTTTTAGAAATGTAGGTCCAGCGGTTTCATGCCTTGCACCACTAGTTTTTTTTATTTTTACTGATATTTGAACATTTGAAATCATTCAATTTAGAGAATCAGGAGAAATATATACCTATTACTCCAGACCAACGATGTGAACAAGAAACGTATTATTGAAATCCTGAAAATAAGATTTTAAACTGTGAACTTCGTGGTCAAATAAATTTTGGATATTTGTTGAATGTCAGGATGACGCTTAAATCTTGATTCTGTCAGAGTATATTTTTTCTTGATTAAGGAGTGCTGATGTTGTATGACAGCCACAAGAATTATATGTTTTATTTTTGATGCTTTTTTTTGAATTTTTTTATTTTGTAATTTTTATTTTCAGTAAATATATGTTTGAACGCAAAGATAGGTCATCAAAAGAATATGAAACATAAAATCTTTGTTTATAACTATTGCGGATATTAATTATGAATATATCATTATCTTTCATGGCTTGTTTGAGTATAAATTTCTCATCTACAACTATTATCTTCAGCATCGTTGGGCAGGAATTCATTTTTGGCACACTTGCGATCATTGTCTCGTCAAAAATTATGTCTACTAAAGCAGTTTTTCAAGATCATCGCAATCGATCCACACATTTGGTACTATAGTGAAGTGGACTGAAGTGAGCCACGTTTTTATTTTTGGATGTAAAATTGTTAAAAATGAAAATATTTTCTTAATTTTGTTGTAGTTGTAAGGGTACTGCAAAATGCTACTTTTTATTATAGATTTAGATGTTTGCAATTATTTTTGGAAGTTTCTCTTTTTTGAATGGCAAGAAAAGTGCATTTAACGTGTTTTTCAAAAATGTAGGGAGAAGTGGGCCACCCAAATGTTTGTCTGAAAAAATACTGCTTTATGCTTCAAATTCTTATCTGAGAAGTTCCAAATATGCTGATTACGAACGTGTTGTCGAATTTATAAAATTCAAAATTGTTGACTTGAAATGAAGGGTAGAAATTGTAAAAAAAAACACGACTTTAGTAAAAATGTTCATTTAATGTATGAAAAGAAGTAATAAAGTAGGAATGATAAAATTGTTGAAAAAAAACATTTTGCAACAATCAAGCACAGATTCTAGGCGTAATTGGTGCACGTCAAGTCGGTGCGGTTGGTTATATCCACGCGCTTCAAATGGAAGGGTCTGTCCTAGTTATCGCACTAGAAGGAGTTTTTTCTTGACAGATATGCCAACATCAATTATTGCAAATCATGCCAAAATCGTTGTCTTCACTTGAAGAAATCGTAGAATTTCGTTTTTTGCCTTATTTACAGCTGATTATAAAGTATTGGCCTTCTTGAAAACTTAGGCTGGTATTTGAAATTTTTGACCCTGTGCTGCTTCTGCCGCGACCTCTCTGTTTTTAGCGAATGTATTGAGGCATCCCACAAAAACACAAGGTAAACAATCGGCAAAAATCACTTTGCATTTCAAAGAATATATATCTATATAATATATTGCATATTTACTAGTATTTTTCTCGAGAATTTGATTTTTCTAGAAAATTTGATGACAAATCAAGTAAGAGTGTACGACACTAAAAATTTCCACAACGAAATTCTTAGCGCGTTTCTCTGTGCAGTGCGAGAGTAGGTTTATAACCTCCAAATGCCTTTTAAAATTGAGCAAATATCAAAATATGATAAATATGTGCGCGGTTCGACATACATGTTACTAGTGTTAGAGTAATTCTGCTGGCCCACTCCAACCTGTGGCCCACGTCTGTCCACTTTACTACTATTTGTACATTTAGATTTAGATTTGTATATTTACATTTTCCGGATATACTTCAAATATGATACAACAATGGCATTAAATATATATTTTGATTGCAATGTATTTATTGCAAGACTAAAATACTTTTCGAATAATTCTAATTGGATATCTCCATTTTCTCAAATACTGTCATTTTTTGCCTTATATGTCCAGAATGGCTGGACCTATCATTGCTCGAAAGTACGAATACAAATAGTCAATACGAATTGAATGTCTTTTGGATCAATCTAATCGAATGCTCTGTTCTTTTAAAAACTGCCATTATTTGCACTTGTCTCCCCATCACGAAAATTTGTGTGCGCACATGTATTTATACATTCATACATCCAATTTTTCTAAGGTAGGGTAGAGATGAGATTAAAGGCTACCACCAATAACTTAAAATCAAGTAAAGTTAGAAATTTTTTAGCAATCAGTCTTTGCCTTAAATTCATCAAGGAAATCTATAACAAAAGTATTCTCTGTGGTTGTTACTTTTTTTGGTTGTGGGCACTGTTGGTTATTTTATGAGACCACTATTTAATATTTAAGTATACCTTATTAAATTATTTTATAATATGTATTGTCGATTCTAAGTTAAATTCAACATATGCTTTTATATAACCTCTATAACAACTCTGATTGGACTAAAAAAGACCAATTGAACCTTTACCCTGTTTTTTTATAAAAATAAAAATTTACCAAAATAAAAATAGAGTAACCAACCCCTAACACTTGCTTTCAATCGAAATTTGCAAAAACCTACTCGAGGATATACCTAACAGTTTCCAAATTTTCACGCCGATTGAATGTATGGTTTGTAAAAAATGATATAATTACTATAATAAGTATTACGAAATCGAAATTATTCTATACTTTACGTATTTTTCTATTTTTATAAAACTATACATAATTTTTATATATGAAATTTTATGATTTATGAAAAAAAAAAAAAAAAAATGACTGAAAATATAAACATAAAGTCTTCAGGGCATCCAACCCCTACCAACTGGTTTTGATCAGAATATGCGATAACCTGTCCTGAGATGTATCTAATATTTACCGAAATTTTTACGCCGATTGGATGTATTGATTATAAAAAACTATGTAATTATTCTAGTCATTCTTAAATGACGTTATTTTAGGGTTATTTTTGTTTCTTATATACGTAGTATCGTAGTATTTGAATGTTAAAAAAATTAAAATTGACCAAAGAATATATAAAAGTCTTTGGGTCGGCCAAGCGTTACCATTTTTAATCAAATTTTCCGAAAACCTGATCGGGGATGTACCTAACAGTTGCCGAAATTTTCACGGCAATTGGACGTACGGTTTATGAACATTTACACACACAGCAGCCATGCAGTCACTGCTTTTTTCTATGCATTCAATATTATATAACAATCAAAGTTATTACAGAACTCTACAAGTTATATGGCTAAATTAACAATAATAAAAAAAATAATAATTACAGAAAGAAATAAACAAGAAAAAAAAAAGAATTACAAATGAAGAAAAATAAATAAATAAAACAAATTATTGATTATTAAGGAGATGGACCATTGTTGCATTAGGAAAATCGTACATTTTAGCATGATGTTTAGTACTGGTATTTTTGATGACATCCACTTCAAAAGGGATGTTGAGGTTATCATGTATAACTTGTTGCTAACAAACCATGGCGCATTAGTAATTGTCCGTAGTGTTTTAAATTGTAATCGTTGAATAAGTCTCACATTTGATTTACTACAACATTCCCACAGTTAGATTCCATATGCTCATACAGGTTTAATTATGGTCTTATAAATTAGAAACTCATTATCTAACAATAATTTTGATTTTTGACCGATAAGCCAACTTAAATTTGAAAGTGTACGTGTAATTTGTTTTATTTTGGCAACGATGTGCGGCTGCCAGGTAATCTGCGATCCATGTAAATACCCAAGTATTTGACAGTGTCTTTGATTGGTATTTGTTTTTTATATACACAGCTTGATAAGTTGACTTATTAAGTGTGAACGTAATATAAATCTACTTTGCATCATTAATTTTGATGTGCCATTTCTCTGTCCAGGTTACTATTTGATTGAGATAATTTTGTAGGATATTAGAAGCGAGAGTAGGATTTTTATTACCAGCCAACATCGCAATATCATCAGCAAAAGTAGCAGTGGTAGATCTCGTAATGGTTACAGAATCACTAGTGTAGGTGAGGTACGAAAAAGGACCCAAAACACTCCCTTGCGGAACGCCTGATTTTATAGGAAAAAGTGCTGAAGAGTCACAATTGTTTCTAAATTTATACCATCTGTTAGTTAAGTACGATTCCAAATTTTTATGAAAGCAAGGCTGCAGCAACCATTTAAGTTTTGCTAAAAGGCCTTCGTGCCATACTTTATCGAAAGCGTGGCTTACATCGAGAAACACTGCTGAGCAATATTGTTTAGATTCGAAACCTTTGTGAATTGAATTCACAATTCTGTGGCACTGCTGAATGCAGCTTGCGAAATCCAAATTGATGATCAGGTAATATATTAGATTCGGATACTATATCATCAAGCAGTAGTTTTTCAAAAACCTTCGACAGTATGGGGAAAAGACGAATTGACCTCTTTAACGTAACCATACTTGTATATTTTCCGTTTTTGCGTATCATTTCAATAACGGATATTTTAAAAGACTTAGGCCAGTACTCCAATTTTAGCATTAAATTAAATATGTAAGTTATGAAAATGTACGCTTTAATTGGCAATTCTTTCAATTTTGGATGAAATATTATCAATCCCAGGAGATTTTCTACTATCAAGTTTAGCAATTTCTGAAATAGTTTTCTTCCGAGAGTAAAATCTTTTCTTGAAGTTCACAAAAGTATGTGGTGAGAGAGGCTGAGGATACAAGTTAAATATATTATATTCAGCTGCATGCAAATACTCAGCAAAAAGTTCTGCTTTTTTCTTGTTATCTCTTGCCGGCTTTTTCTTGTTATCTGATACACGGCCAAATAGAATTGTCAAAGAGATTGAGGTTAGACACGTAGTTGGCGAAGCTATTATCATTTAATTCGTTAAGTGGCACTGCAACGCACTATTTTGCTGCATGTAAGCGTAAAATAGAGCGTTGCAGTTGCAGTTGCGATATAATAAGTGATGCGCTTTAGCTCCGACATGTCTTGATCTTTGTTCAGGACTATGTAGATGACAGCCAACTTTTATTGGCTGAAAATTTTCAAGTCGTATTTTCTCGAGAAAACAAACTTTTTCGGAAAGTTCCGAATTACTATTACTATTAATTAAATAGTAATAGTAAATTATATTTTGTCGACGACTCAGACATAAGCAGATTTCGCTGCGATCACTGGGGAATCGCTTTGAGAATTGGTTCAAACAGATGGAATCAAGTGACATTCAAGAATTGCTTGAATTACAAGATGAATATTTGGCTGAAACAGGCTTGAAGAATTTGTTGAATTCAGAGCCCATTGATAAAAGAGTTTTCCATGCAAGCGTTGGAAATCTGACATATAATTTGTTTATGAATCGCAAAAAACTAAAATTAATTTCTTTGCAAATCTTTACGTTTCAAGACCTTCTGAATATGCCTTAGAAAGAATTGATCTATGATCCACGATCCATTCATAATTCTATTCGTTGTATTTACATTTGCGGCATATTTGTGGAATACTACACTCATGAATAAAGAACTCGCACTGTGAATAAAAATTAATAAATAAAAAAATGTTTCTTACAGATGCAAGCTCCTCTAATGAGGCAGTCCATTTGCAGCAGCGGCTACGAAGCCTTAGCACTGAACTTGTTACTTTACGCAACCGACTACACGTTGGTAATCCCGGCGCTGTGAGCTGCAAAGATGATTTATCAATGTCTCGCGCAACAACAGCTGGAACTGATTGTAAAGTAACTGATACTTCAGCCTGCACGACACAGACCAAAATCTCCCACAATGTTATCGGCGCCCAGGTTATAGCACCACCAAGTCTTCCTCATTCACAACGATCCGTTGCTGTGCAGAAACTGAGCTCTCATGGTATAAATAAAGTATAGACAGTATATTATCGTTTTATTCACAAATAAGTACATAGAGCTAAAGGAATTTTTCATAAAATTTTAGTTATGTGATTTTTCACTTTAAATTGATTGAGTTAACCAACGATAATTTTATTTTCACTTTTATAGATAACAAAACATTATGTCATGTCTAATAGATATTTTTGTAAACAATATTTTGTAAGATATTTTTATAGAGATAAAAATACGTAATTATAAATTAAACACTAAATTAAATAGATGAATCATTGCGTCAATCCTAAAATTTATGGTATTTACCAGCATATTTTTCAAGTGTGACCGTCTGCTACTTCCGTCTACTACTGGGCGTACTACCAAGTACGCCCAGGACTATCACATTTTCCATTCCTCACAATCATTAATTTGGTGCAGTCGTTATTGAGAATACGTCGTAAAAAGCAAAATTTACATTCAGTATATTAAAACACGCACATTTCCCTATTTTCATGTCAAATAATTCACATGATTCTTGTTCTTTCGCTAATTTGGGGTTAACCCTTTCAAGTCGGATACCGCCCCACCGGCGACAAAATGCATACAATTTTTTAAATGCCCGAGTAGAAAGGGTTAATTTCTTTTCAAAACGTAAACATCCGTTTGGGAAACGAAATAATATTTTTCATTGTCACAAAGCTCAAATAAACGTAAATATTTTATTAGGACTACATATTAGTTTGTCTTACATCTTTATTGTATACATCAAATTAGCTCAGTTATATAATAGCATTATTATTTATTGATCATCATTGTCAGTTTTTGGCGACATTTATATATTATTTATATATGGTTGATAAAAATATAGTAATAGGTTTTCCTTATTGCTGATTTGAATTGAAACAAATTATTCTTCATTATTAAAAAATTATACAGATGGATCAAAAGGCAAAGAACCAAACAATAAACAAACATCACCTGCATGCAATACTACGTCAAAATTTAACAATAATACTTCAGGCATGGTGGAACAAGATGGCAATAAAACAGGATCTTCATATGATTTAGAAGATCTTATACGTCTGCCTGGACCACTGACAGAAGACGCTGTTATGAAATCATTACAAACACGCTTTGTAAACAAAAAATGTTATGTAAGTGTATTTAAATGTATTTATTGTATGCACATATGACACCCAAATAAGTATACACACATGTATATATATATATATATATGAAGCGGTTGATGGATTAAAACAGTTGGTATAGTTTGTTATTGTTTATTCGCCGTGAAATATAGGTACAACATTTATATCGTGCTGTATATCTCTCCTGGCTGCCGAATGGTAGAATAGGCCTTTTGCTTCTATGGACGGTTCTTTTATTCAGGCCGGAGACGGCCATCTTGATGCGTGCGCATTCCCAAATGCTGCAGGCCCGTACTTAATGCAGGGCTGTACTTGGGTGTCGCCGCACAGCCCCCTACTGTAAAAAAGAAAGAAAATTATTATTCTTTGTAGTTCTGAAATCGTACCTACCGTCCTCGTCTTGTTGTATATTTTTCAGATGTGACGTGCTCTGCTGTTGTGCGTTCTTCGGCAGTCATGTATGCAGGCTTCAGTCTGTCTTTAGAAAAGGATGGCCCGAAACGTTCAGTTTAAAAGTCTTTTCTCCTCTTTCCAAAACCTTGTAAGGTCCTTTATAAGGTTGCGGTTTTATCATATCTTGCCTGATGAAAACATGACTAGACTTGTCCAGATCTTTATGGATGAAACTCTTTTTCGGGCTATGAGATGACGTAGGTTGTGGCTTTAAATTTCTAAAGATCCTATGTAAATTATCCATGACGGTTGCAGTTGATATGTCCGTGTGATCTTTAAAAAATTTACCAGGAAGTCTCGAAAGTTCTCCAAAGGTGAGTTCTGCGCTAGAATTCTTTAAGTCTTCTTTCGCCACTGCTCGCAATCCTAATAGAACCCATGGCAATGCTTCTAACCATGACTCATTTTCGCGGCACATAAGGGCAGACTTTAGTGTTCGGTGTATGTTTTCAATGATGCCATTAGACTACGGGTGATACGACGACGCATGTATTAGTTTTGTTCCACAAAATTGTGCCATATTGCGGAATGTTGCTCCGTCGAATTGTCTTCCTCTGTCGGTTGTTATTGTTGCCGGTATTCCGAATCTGGATATCCAACAAAAAATAAAAGCCCAAGTCACTGTTTCTGCAGTTATGTCTGATAATGGATAAACTTCTATCCATCTGGTGTATCTATCTATGCAGGTTAGTAAATATCGCACATTTTTGCAAATTGGTAGAGGACCTACGATGTCAATATGTACATGTAGAAATCTTGCAGATGGAACGTTAAATTTTTGTAAAGGTGTGATTGTATGTCTACCTATTTTGCTGCGTTGACATTGTATGCAATTCTTTGACCAGGTCCGGCAGTCACGCCGTATATATGGCCAAACAAAGCGTTTCGTCAGCATTTTGACTGTTGCTCTAACACCCGGATGACTTAAGTTGTGCACGTTGTCAAAGATCTTCTTTCTTAAAGCTGCTGGAACAAATGGTCTTGGTAAATGTTGCGATATGTCACAAAATATCTCGTGTGTTGTTCCTGGGATGGCTTGGCTTTCGAGCTGCAATGAACTTTCTTTTGAAAGAAAATTTTTTAGTTCCTGGTCCTCTTTTGGCGCTTCAGCAATTTCAATTATGTTTGTAAGGCTGCTAACTGCTTCGATTCTCGAAAATGTATCAGCGGTTATGTTTTTTGCTCCGCTTATGTGCCTAACATCGGTTGTAAATTGAGAAATGAAAGTGACTTGATTCAATTGTATTGGAGGTAGGCGTTACTGTTTTTGTTGAAAAATATAAGTTAATGGCTTATGATCTGTAAACCAGATGAAATTGCGACCTTCCAACATGTGTCTAAAATATTTCAAAGATGTATAACCGGCTAATAATTCTCTATAAAATGCGGGCCATTCTTGTTGCTTTTCGGTCAGTCTTTTGGAGAAATATGCGAGTGGTTCACAGATATTATTTATCCGTTGTTGTAAGACGGCGCCAATGCATGTGTTCGAAGCATCTGTGAACATTGCGAGTTGCGCCTCTGGCTTTGGATGTGCTAATAGAGTAGCTTCTTCTAGATTCACTTTACACTTTTCAAATGCCTCTGAGAGTTTTTCGTTCCACTCTATTTCAGTTTCTCCTTTAGTACTAGGTACAGATAACAAAGATTGTAATTCTGCTTGGTATTGTGCAGCGTTTGGACAAAATCTATAAAAATTAATCATACCCCGAAATCTACGAAGAGATTTGATGGTACTTGGTTTCGGGAATGCTCGTAGTGCACTTATTCTCTCGATTGGTGGTTTAGTGCCATGTTCTGTGATATGATAACCAAGAAATTTTACTTCTGGCACTCCTAGAATACATTTGGAAGCGTTGACTACTACACCATAATCCGTAAGTCGTTGGAAGAGACAACGAAGATGTTGCTTGTGTTTTTCCGGGTTTTTAGATGAAACCAAAATATCATCCACGTATGGAAAACAGTAGTCCAATCCTTGAGTCACTTCATCGACAAAACGCTGGAAGGTTTGAGCCGCATTCCTCAGACCGAAGGTCATGAAAGGAAACTCAAATAATCCAAATGGTATTGTTATGGCGGTTTTCGGTATGTCTTCTTTGTACACTGGTATTTGTTGGTATATTTTTTTTAAAATCAATTATGGAAAAAATTTTGCAGCCCGCTAAATTCTGCGAGTAATCAGATATGAGTCGCACTGGATATCTGTCAGGAATGGTTCTATTGTTCAACATTCTAAAATCTCCACAGGGTCTCCATATCATCTTTTTTCTTAGTGAAGACCAAGGGCTATTTGACGGTCGCGCTATTCCTAGCTGCATCATGTCCTGGAATTCCTGCTTAGCTATTTTTAACATTTCTGTGCTCAATGGACGAGGTCGCGATCTAACAGGCGGTCCAGGAGTTGTTTTGATGTAATGTACCGTCGTGTGCTTAATTTCTTGTGGTAGGCCAGGTAATTTAGTCAAATTTGAAAATTCTGAAAGAATTTTGCTAAATCGGCATGTTACGTTGACCGTTTTGATGCTTCCCTGTTGTATTGTTCCTTTGTTTATTGTTTTTGCCTGTAGGTTTGTAGTACCGTCTACTAGTCTTAAATTCTTTGTGTCGACGATTATGTTGTAATATGACAGAAAATCTGCGCCTATTATGGGTGTTGACACATCAGCAATAACAAAATTCCAGATGAATTTGCGCCTTAGACCTAAGTCGAGATTCAACTGTATATCTCCATATGTACGAATCTCGGTATTGTTTGCTGCAGACAGTTTGTAATCGGACTCGAAAACTTTGTGTTGTATAAACATGCGTGGGTATATACACAGATCACTACCTGTGTCTATCAAAAATTGTACTTTGGTTGGTTTATCTGAGATGAACATGCGGCGTGAAAGTGTTTGACAAACACTTGCCGCATCTAGTGCCTGTCTTCTTCGTTTCCCGACATTTTGCATGGTTGCGTGCATTTCTTGGCTTTGTTTCCAAATTTGTAGTGGTAACAGCACGTATCAAAGCTTCGTCTGCTACCATCTCTTTAGCGTGAAAAACTTCTTGTGCGCGAGATTTTCCTAGAACGAGAATTATGCCGATATCTAGGACGTCTATTTTGCAATTCAGCTACCATTTGTGTTAGGTCTTCTACTCGTTTTAATAATTCAGACGTTGTACTGTCGGTAAGGCTTGTGGCGGCCACAGTTGGCGCGATGTTAACCTCACCGATGCTATCTGCAATGGCAGCTAAGGTCTTCAATTTTCATGGTCGGATGGGCCTTTAATATTTGTAGTGTATGCGTAGGTAATCTTTGTAGCCACAAGGTTCTTAAAATATTTTCATCTAGTAGTGGGCCAGCTAATGATGTTAGGTGTCGTAAAAATTGCGACGGTTTTTGATCACCCAGTTCCTCTTGCTGTAGCAACCTTCGAATCTTTTGGTCCTGTGACTGTGGTAAACGTTGTATTATTTCTTTCTTTAACTTAAAATTAGTATAGGGTTCGACTTTCGGTGGATTTAATATTATATCTTCCACTTCACTGGCTAATTTGGCATCTAAATATGATAATATAAATTCATATTTGACATCTTCTGTTTTTATTCGTGATCGATTAAAATGTGCCTCGATCATCGCGAACCATAATTGAGGTTTTTCATACCAAAATGTTGGATAGGCCTCGCAATTCCATGTGATATGCCTGCATTTGCGTGGTTTGGATTTTCTGATTTCACTTTCTTATGTTCTTCACTCATTTCACAAATAATTGAGAAAAACAAATTAAATATTCACTAAAAAAATGTCACTGAATGTTCAAAAAAGAAAAATTACACTTCTTATGAAAAAAAATTAAAAATGTTGTTGAATCTTGAATAATACACTTAAGTTAAGTTACTATTGTTCTGTTTTACTCACGTCAGGTAGATGAATATACCTTTTATCACGTCGGGTCACCAATGAAGCGGTTGATGGATTAAAACAGTTGGTATAGTTTGTTATTGTTTATTCGCAGTGAAATATAGGTACAATATTTATATCGTGCTGTGTATCTCTCTTGGCTGCCGAATGGTAGAATAGGCCTTTTGCTTCGATGGCCGGTTTTTTTTATTCAGGCCGGAGACGGCCATCTTGATGCGTGCGCATTTCCAAATGCTGCAGGCCCGTACTTAATGCAGGGCTGTACTTGAGTGTCGCCGCATATATATATATATATATATATATATATATATGTGTATATATATATACATATATGTATATATATATATATATGTGTGTGTGTGTGTGTATATATATTGAATAATGATTTTCAGCCAGTCGTCGAAATAAAACAAACAAATAAATATAAATATTTATTTATAATATACGTTTCGGCACGGATTTTGTTTCATCATTCAGCAATTCTTTGTTAACAGTATCTAAAAAATATTTGCAAAGATTTAAAAAAATAAATTTAATTTTATATTTAAAATAATTAAAAGATATACATACCACACCAGGAAAAACCATTTTATAAATCAATACATATAGAAAAACCAATCATACATTACATATAAAATAAATATA